TATATATATACATATATATCGAACTAGAGTTACCCGACAACTGGGTTAGAAAATAAGGTAAGCGATATCGTTTATGTAAGATACATGCTATGCAAAATCTCTTTTACATCATTGGCCTAATTTTGTGTTGGTATGAAATTGAAAGTATTAACTATCAGACCAGATTAAAAGTTATAATGTACTTACATGGCAGTTTCCTTCGAAGGAAAATAACTTGTTATAAATCTTGGTAATCGCGGTCGTTTGTTTCGCTCAAAAACAAGATAGGGGGAAAAAAATTATTTTACTACTCAGTGCAATTGAAATAACAACGTAAGTGCTTCTCGATAGATTCCGAGAAAAGTAGCTTGACAACTTTTTTCTTTCGATTGCTAACGCTATGAAAGCTAAAATAGAATTTCAGAAAACTTATGAAGCAAAATTTATTTTTGAAGAAAAAAAAATGATTTTGCAACATGTTTATCATACAGAGATGCCATATATAATATAAATCTCAATCTTAAATTTTTTGTCTCTTACGTTGATTTTTCTTTTGCACAGGGGTATACTATGTTGCAAGTTAAGAAAAAACCATTGTCCTTATTGAGCGAAACTGTTTGCATATAAGGCAACGCCAAATGAATGCCAAGCTGCTCCCAGCGTTATCGACATCGCCAACTCTCATTTAAAGAAACTGATGAAAGAATAATAAATATTGCTTCTTGCAGACGATTTTCTCCTACAGCGAAACAAATATAAAAATTCTTTATCTCGCACTTGATTTATTAGGGGCATGATCAGGCTTGATAAAGGTCATGACAGCATAAACGGTGCCATTTTTAGTGGTCCAATCAAATAAAATGCTCTTGTAACGTCATATAGTTGTTTCTTTTTCAAGAACAAATGTTCTCCTTATATGTCGCCAAGTTTAGGATTCTGGTATGACCACGAAACTATAAACTTTTTTTTAAATAATTCTACGATTAAAAGGTAGCATGAATTGAATTCTTGTCTGACGTGTTTAACCTTTAAAAGCTTTTATATTATTTTTGAAAGCAGGTTTGTATAATTTGATAACGAAGTGAAACGGAACTATATGCAATCGCGGATGATTACTTAAATGCTATATCGCCAGAGCCTAACTAAGGCAGGGGCATACGGGGCAGTTGCCCCCTGTCCCCCATATCACAGGGGGCCTCCAAATCGAATAGAAATTTTATTTTACGCTTCCTTTTTCGCTGAAATTTTTTAAACAAAATATCAGTGCAAAATAAAATCCGCCTGCTTTATGTTAGCTTCTTCATTGATCAATCGTATGAACACAAAAAATCCATATTTCGTAAATCCAGGGCTTTCTATGGCGGAATTTGGCTAAATTTTCGCAATTACGATGGATAAATTTGGCCAATCAAAAGCCTGCATTTTTACCTATCGCAAAATGCGATATGTTTATAAAAATACGAACTTCTGATGGGCTTAATTGAGCTAGAGTAATTGCGAAAATTTAGCTGAATTCCGCCCTAATGTCAGCAAGGATATAAATTTTTAGCAGCTAGATGACAAAGTTAACAATCAGAAAACTGCATTTCGGAAACTTTCTTCACATGATGGACGTAGAATTGTCAGAAAAACAATAAAATAGATAAAACGATATGGGGGACTTCATAGCTATTTTAGGTTCTTGTCAATTTTCTTGTTATATATGTATAATGAGGTGAAAAATTTAAATTTCTCCATAAAGTTCGGTTCTTAATTACTGAAGTAGTGAAGCCGAGGGGGCCCCGAAAGAAGTTTTTGTCCCGGGACCTATTAGGCTAAGTCGGGCCCTGTACACCGCATATGGTCTTTCCTCAACTTGCAACGGTGTTTAGTTTTATATTTTTTCCGTCATACAAACAGTGTTATTTTAATTACATCTCAACAGTTACTTACTTAGGTGATTTATTATCTAGGGTGGTCACAATCTGGAAAAGTTTAAAAAGTGGGGACAAATATTTTACGATAATATCATACATTTTATAGGCTTTAATTTCACGTCAATTTTAGGAATTCAGTTGGTCAGTTGTAGCATAGATATTTAATTTCGTAATATTTGTTGATTGTAATTAGTTAAAACATTTTGTTTCCTGGAATTTTTCAACGAATTTTTTGAATTTTTCTGGAAAGTGACTATTTTGTTATCATCTACTCTTGGACGTAGAAGTGAAAAAAAAATCAAATCTATTCTCCAGCAAAATAAGAAGAAAGATATATGTTATTACTTCACGTCCTGCAAAGTATTTTATTATATGTGAAAAGTAGAGTCATGTCATTAAAAATTTATGAATTTCGTTTAACTCGTTGAAATTTCGTTTCGTTTATATTTTGGATTTACGACTACTGACGTCTAAGTCCGTAGCCTTGTAATTTTGAACCAAATCCAGAAGACAAGGGAACTCATGGATCAAGTGTTGGGAGAAATTTGATTTCGTGGAGGACTTTATCGAGGGAAATAACCAGCATTTGCGTTACATGGAGAGAAAAACTACGAAAACCTCCTGCAGTTAGCCTGAATTTAGGGGACTATAACTCATGATCCGTCTACTACTGAGGATATTTTACGTCAGCACTGTGGTCGGTGTGAGCCGGGTGTGGAGTTCGGGTCAGCCATGGCTGGGATTCGAACCCGGCTAAAAGGCGAACATAGGCATGTTGAACATTAGAAGGTGAACGCTCTATCTCCTGATCCATCACTACCAATTTATTTTATATTCCTCATTGAACAGCTGACCCAATTTTGGGTTTACGACTACTGATGTTCAACTACGTAGCCTTGTAATTTTGAACCCAATCCATAAGACAAGGAAACTTCTAGATCGGTAACCCCAAAGGTATGATTTGTTATGGGAACAAGAAGGACTTAAGTGACTCGACAGATTTAACTTGCATCAGTCACTATTGACTACACAGGGAGTCTTCGGCCGGCGGGGATCGAACCCTCGACCTTTTGGACATGGGCCCAGTGCCTGACCAACCAGGTTATCCCAGCCCCTTCCAACTTATTAAAAGTTTTGCAGAAATCAGAGCAGTTGGCAACCTTGTTTCTTACTTCAGAAATACAGTTAACTTGCATTTAAGAATAGATTTACACCTTTAGAAAACTGGTTATGAATGAAATAGTATGACTACTAATTTTTTTTTTCTCTTCCGTCTCACTTTAAAACCTGAAGCAAGCTTAATTTACTTAAGTTTGCCAGCACTTAAAAACTTCCCAGTATGTTTGTCAGCTCTTAAATATATTTTTTAAAACTGTTTGGATATAGTGAAGTCAATTAGATATAGCGATGGTTAAAATCATTTTAAAACAAATTTATCAAATCAAAAATGAATTTGTAAAGTACAATTTTTTCTGCTACTTTATACATCTAAGAAAAAGTTTCCTTAAAAGAACAAGAGCAGGTAATAAATATTTGGACTTCTTTATCCTCGTTTTGTACAGGTAAAAAAAAAAATTAAAAAATTTAAATTTTGAGAATTATATATTTTTTTTTCTTCTAAAATTGAAGAAAAATTTGGCTGTTGCAACTTACTGAAAATAATAGATTTCCATTTCAAGCTCGTCTAATTCTCCAGCGAAATCTTTATTGTAAAACTCTTGAAGATCTTCTTTGATGTGTCTGAAATTTAAAAAAAAACCATTGTGAATAAGGTACAGGAATTGGACAAAAATATGGAAATACTTCTATACTAACTCTATGTAAACAATATTTTCGTTAGCAGCAAATGTTCTGGAAGATTTTACGAGGTAAAACTGCTGGAATAGTTTGAAAAATCAAGCTTGAAGCTTTTAGAAATGATATTATATTTACTGATACAAATTTTATATCAGTGGTTACCAACTGGCGGCCCGCGAAGCCTTTTTTTGTAGCCCACGAACTAAAATATATTAGCTGTTATTTTTTGCGGACAATTTTTGTTAAAAATCTATATGGGTTTAAAATACTTTTCTTTTGTTTTAAAAAAACCTAATTTCTTCGTTTTTGTGAAATTTAACATACCAGCGGTGCAAAAAAATTTATTTCTCAGGTTTTGCATCGAAGAAAATATTTATGCAAATACAAAATTAATCCTGGGTGCTGCTTAAAAATCTACTTTTTATTTTAATTTGTAATTCAATACGTTTGTTTTGTACAACTTGATAAAAATCTGACAATAATATATAGTTCCTTCAAACATTAAAGAGTCCTATATAAAATTTTGATAAAGTTGCGGCCCGCTATTTGACTGGTTTTTAAATTGCGGCACCCGGCCTCATGTAAGTTGAAAACCTCTACTTTAGATCTACCAAAATTAGTGTAGAAAGTTAAAATCCTGTTACAAATTTTAATAACATTATAATTTTAAAAGCATTTTTGTATCATTAACGAAATCTTCGACCACGTTTACAAAGTTCCTGATGATCAATCATTAAATAAATTAATAACTTAGATTCAATTTTTGCATGGGTGTAAAGGGCACCATTTCTATACAGCATCAAGCAAATTGTGTCATCAGTTATGCCATGTAAAATCTTCCGCGACATTTAGTGCTAAAAAAAAGATCGTTTACACAGAGTAAGTATAGAAGTGTTTACATAAGTTTTGTCCATCCCCTGCGTATTGTTTAAAACAGTAATGAATCGGTTTTTGTAGGCATTCTATTTTTTTTGTTTCAATAATACTTATTATATTGCGCAGGAAATTAAATAATTTAGAGCTATATTTAAGTTTTAATAAATATTGAAGCAGGAGAGCGATTCGTTCTATCAACAGAAATTGTCCTGAAGTAAGTAAGGGACAATATCTACTCAGAGGTGACATACAGGATGTTTATAAAGTCCGGGACCCATTTTGATGTTTAATAACTCATAAAATAATAAAGATAGATTAAAATTAATAACATAAATGGTTAGATAGACTCAAAAAGTTTAAAGATGATACCGACATATACCTTCGCATTCGATGATACCTTCGTATTTCCACAGCTAGAAGAGCTTCAGCCACATGTCTTTTTGCAACAAGATGGTGCACCACCTCATTGGGGTATCATCGTTCGTAGTTCTTTGAATGACCATTTTCCAGGAAGATGGATTGGACGAGGAGGTCCAATTCCTTGGCCTCCCAGATCACCTGATATAACGCCGCTGGACTTTTTTCGTTGGGGATTTATAAAGGACAATGTTTTCAGGAGGATCGTGTCGAGCATTGAAACCTAAAAACCAGATATACAGCCGCAATAGCCTCTGTGGATGCCAACATGCTTGCCGCTACCTGGCGTGAAATTGACTATCGACTTGATATTTTCCGTGCGATGAAGGGGGAACACGTGGAAGTTCATTGACAAGGGTCCTGAAACTTTTTGAGTCTATCTAACCATTTATGTTATTAATTTCAATCTATCTTTATTATTTTATGAGTTATTAAACATCAAAATGGGTCCGGGACTTTATAAACACCCTGTATTATGATTTATTCTAATTTTATAGAAACATAGTCAATTTTACCTGTAGCATAGTATGTATAGGGTAAACGTGAAAATAAATGTTTTATGTTACAAAATGAGAAAATGTTTAAAAGCGTCACACTTTGTTACAATTCCGATTCGTTATTTTCACTGATTAGATCAGCGTTTGAATTATTCATTTTATTTATTTATTTTTACCGATTCAATTACTGTTTCGATTGGGAGAGAAATAGATGTTTCACTTCAGCAATTGCTACATGGCATGAAATTTTAAGGCAGCATGGCACGGCATGACAAATGGCTGCATTTTATGGCAGATGGCAGCATGGCATGAAATTTTATCATCCCTCACACCTATCAATTTCAAAAAGTTAATAATTTTCTGATTTTACGTTTTACTAACATTTGTCTAAGAACTTGCTCGTTGACACGTAGGCAATACAAACAGCATAGATGCTGTAAACAATAACAAGCTTTTTAAAATTGAAATTGACTATAAATTTCAAACGTATCACTCCACCGATGTTGTGCTTGCGAATTGAAATATGATCGCCAATCATAAGATTTTTCTTAGTTTAATTCGTTTATTCAAATCTCGAAACATGAATTAAACCAATACTATTAAAAAAAATCAATAATAAATACGAACGAGTTATTATTGGAGTGTTATCCCTCCACCGATTTATCGATTATTAGTCTCACCATCGAATGCCATAATTTCATGCTATCTTGTTGTTTGAGGCGTGGCAAGAAGTGAGGAACCTCAATTTTTTTTATTGTTCATTAACAAAGATTTTTTGAACAAATTGAACCACACGGATGTTTTAAACCTTTTCGTAAAATTTTCATAACTCTGTTGCTATGTAAACTATGAACTGCAGAATGGAGCAAAGAATGAAATTACTAAAAATTTATATCGGTTTAATATTTTTCCATACAACATAAAAACACTATAGAAGTGAGAAAAGGATTTGTGGTATATAATAAAAAAATTTGGATTATCTTAATTGTGAATAACATTTAGTTTTCATCTTACAATCTACAGCCACGAAACGGAATATGATAACTTGGAAATCATGAAGTTTGGCGAGCGAAGCGAGCAGAAGATAGTGCCTCCTAATGTTATGTATGTTTACAAGATTCGAACGATATTTTGACTCAAAATAAAGCCTAGTGTGGTCAATCAAATAATAAAGGGGAAAAAAAGATTATAGCAATAATTAAAATTTTCATACTACAAGTAAAAGTACATTAACACATTCACGCCGGGGTGACCCAACGGCGGGTCACGCTGGATTGTCTCATCGGGAGGCACACCGGAGTAAAAACTGGTAACAAGTAAATTTCATTTTTTAGTTTTTTTCCGGGAATAATAAAAATCCATAGCTACCAATTGTTTTTAACGGATGCAATTTTTATATTATATTGCTTCTTCGTACCTGCCAACTAGGGGCCGCCCTGGCCGAGCGGTATCGCCGGTCCAAACGATCTGTTAAGCGTGGAGGTAGCGGGTTCGGATCCCGCCGTAACCCTGGATGTATTCTTTGTGATGTCATTCTCTGAATTGTTCTATCTGTATTTTCTACTTCTACTTGACAAGACTTATAAGCCTATATTGAGCACACAAGTCAGCAAATGTATGTAATTTCAATTTTAAAAAAAATTTACCTGCCAACTCTTCCGGATTTTCCGAAAGATTTTATTTTCATATTTAAAGTGGTAGTAATTATATATTATTTTTTTTCTTTTATAATTTTTAAATGATATTGATCACCACTATTCTTACCAAAATTAAGCACAGATATTAATATGCGTTACTATCATGGTTGTCAACTTAAGTTTTCTCAAATACAACGTATTTGTTTGCTTAAAATTGAAGTTTTAATTCCATTTTAATACCACTGGGAAAAATGATAATGGAAGGGATTAAAAGTTGGCAGGTATGCTTCTTAGCCGTGATAAATTTCCTTACAGTGAATTGCTATTGTTGAGAATAGATTAACTCCTCCCGAATATTATCTAATATTGAAATAGTTCTTCTACCAGTATTTTCTCTTTTCCGTCCCTCTTTCAGGCGCAACACCCGGCGTGAACGTGTTAAAAAGTTAAATCTTTTAATAAGTGAATAAGTATTGTCTGCAGATTTCTAACTTATACGAGTACGCAAAAAGGTGAAGAAAAGTTTCGATCAGAGCATAAGTATCTGCATCAGATGAAAGTTTTGCATTCGAAAATAACTATATAACATTTGCATTAACAAGATTTCCAGTGGTTAACCAAAATAATTAAAGTTGTATCTAAATGTATGTAATAAGAAGAGCGTAGTGCAGGAAGAAGGTAAATCATAGTTGCAGTTATTTGGTTGTTCGAGGCCTTTTGGCCCATTAAAGGCCTTTTACATCTCCATCAATGCATAGTGTTGTGGTAGTTTTAATCATGAATTAAAGGAAGAAATTTAAAAAAAAGATTGACTTTCAGAAATTCTAAAATCGATGTACGAAGATAAGCGACATTTCAAGAATATTTATTAATCTGGGAAACTAACATGAAGTGGTCGTATCAATATGTATTTGTTTAATGTAACATAATTGTTTTTGCTTTCATTTTAATTTTAGAAGAACTAATCCACATTTTGGAGTATGCTTGCAGGACTTATGTATTTAAAATTAGATAGTGATCAATAAAATAGGGCAAGAAACTTTAGCCGTATTCTAGTAAGTCTATATAATCGGTTACCACTTTTGCTTCTTCGTACCCTAATTATAGCCATTCTGAAACTTTTGCTTTCCCTGTTTACCCCCTAAACTCTCCAAACATACAGTCCTCCAAAAAAAAAAAAAAAAAAANAAAAAAAAAAAAAAAAAAGTAAAGGAAATAAAAACGGAACACCCTGAATAACTTTAGATCTAATAATCGAATCTTTATGTCATTCTTAATTATTCTTTACCTCATTCTTAACCCTCTCTCGCTGACTGTCGCAAATGCGTGACAGCATAAAACCGTATCCATCAGGGTAAAAATATAAAACTGGTAAATAAAGCATTTCTTTAGCAGTTTATTTGTGGGCGGAGTTATAATTGTTTGATTTATTTAAATCACCATTACTTTGTTCAAAATAGAACTATTTAGGTATGCTTTGAATAAACATTGATTATATACAGGGTGTCTGAGTTAAGCGCTTCAGAACTTCTAAGAGAGGTAGGGGGCATCCTGACGACTCGAAATCATATAGCAATGTGGGGTCGGAAATGCTTTCCTGAAGCTGTGACGTACACAGAAGCACCATAAAGAAAAGAGATCGTAAGTGAAAAATCGTTTTAATAATGCATTGAAATTAGCATAAGGCACATGGGTCAAAGTAAGTGCTCGAAGTTTCTGCCACCGGCTACAATGCACACCTCACATCTCCGGTGCATGAACATCCGAACATTCTGCAATACTCCAGGCATATCTCGAATTTCTCCGGCAGCTACTGTGATTCTTGCAGCCAGTTCCTCAGCATTGTCAACAGGGGTGTCTTAAGCCAGTGTTTTCATATGACCCCAGAAATAAAATTCAAGACATGATAGGTCGGGTGACTGAGGAGGCCAACGCACTGGAAAGCTCGGTCGGAACTTTCGAACAACGCCATCTACCGCGTCAGGAAAGCATTTCCGACCCCGCATTGCTGTATGATTTCGAGTCGTCAGGATGCCCCTACCCCTCTTAGAAGTTCTGAAACGCTTAACTTAGACACCCTGTATATATATGATTAAACTAACAATAATTAAAGTAAAAGCAAAGTAAGTCTGTCAAATTAGCAACGACTACATTTAAGTTACCGTTTTTTAGTTAATTACAACTTGATTCTGATTTTGTACGAATGCTTTTCTGAATCACCCGTCCCCAAGTGGTTAATGATTCAAGGTGGTGACCTAAAGTATGCTAATTAATTAGTGCAGGCGATATTTTAAGTCTTGAAATCAGCTACAAAAACGTACTCTCTAAATAAACATGCCTTTTTTTCGACGGAATCGGATTTCTGACCCCTAAAATATAGGAGGTAACAGCAATCTCGGAAATATGGTTCCCTTAGTTTAGTCAGGAGAGTGATCCAAAGTTTTGACCACTTCACACTGATTTTACTTTTTGCGTATTTCGCTATGTCTCGAGTATTTTTTAAACAAATTGAAAAATTTTTGCCCGCACTTATAAGATTCGATAATCCAAACATAATTCCTTTGAAAAAATAAATTTTAGTAAATATATATATTTTTTTAAGTTTATGTAATAATAGTCGAAACATTTTTGAATAGATTTTTTCGCCATATTAAAGTATGTAACGCAATTTTAAAGTATGTAACGCAATTTTAAAGTATGTAACTTTACAAGGCAAAATTTGTGCGAAATCGGTTGAATAGTTCCTGAGAAATTAAGTTTAAAATATATGATTTCTCAGAAATTATTCAACTGATTTCGCTCAAATTTTCTATTTTGCCAAGTAAAATTGCATACTTTAAAACGACGTAAAAATTTGTATACCTTACATTTCAAAAATTTTCGACTATTAATAAATAAAAAAATAATAAATATTTACTAAAATTTATTCTTGCATGGAGTTAACTTGGATAAACGAATCTTATAAATGTGTGCAAAAATTTTACAATTTCCCTAAAAAGATTCTCGAGATATGACGAAATACGCAAAAAGTAAAATTAACATTAACAAACATAATACATACTATTGGGACCATACTTCCCTGATTGCTGTTACTCCCTACATTTGGGGAATCTGAAATTCGACTCCGTTGAAATAAAAGTATGTTTATGTAGAGAAGGCTTGTTTGCGTGTCTGATTTTATAACTTAAAATATCGTTTGTACTAGTTAATTAGCATATTTGAGATCCCCCCCCCCAAACCATCCTTCCTTCTCGCTCCCGCGAAAATGACGGGGTGAGGTTTCGCCCTCTATTTCTAGCTCCCGTGATATACCCGGGCTGTAGTTTTCAGTCGTAACGTGCCAATAAGGATAGAACTAATTCCTTTCTTTTGCCCGGAAAACATTTTATTTCTCATTTTGCACACCAGATGGCAGTACCAGGATATTTTTAAGGTAATTGTAGATAGTTTATTTTAAGGTAATTGTAAATAGTTTATTTTAAACTACGAGTAGATGTCAACTCTAATCAAATACGTGTATAATATACGTGTATAAAAAATAGGCACTTTTATGACCGTTTTCTCGAAAATTAACCGAGTCCTAGAACGTGAAGATCAGTCATTAGATCAAAAGTCATTCAGGGTTGTCTTTTTTTTGGCGCATTGTACATACTAAAAATACTAAATTTTGCTTACTCATAATCCCTTAAGTACTTGTTATCTCTTAGAACGTTTTTCGGTCCGTCTTTATCTGGAATATGATGAGTGTGACCGCCATGTCTTCCTTGGTTGGATTCTGTAGCTATGCTAAGAGTTGACAAGAAAGTCAATAAGAATATACTGTTCCAAAGCAATAGCATTCTGCAAATTAAAAATTAAATTAAAATCGTTGGAGTCAACTTATAGACAAAAGCGAATCGTCGGTGAGTTTTTGAATCTGAAGGCAGCCAGAATCGGCAGGCAGTAGTCTGCGCAGTTTATGTTAAAAGTGAACCAGGTACCATTGTACGCAGGGACCCAAATACTATTTTAAAAATCGTTCGTTTGTTGTAGTGGAACTGGGCGTCTGAGGCCTTTCAACCCTATTCCCATTCATCCTGAAATTAAACTAAGAAACATACATGACAAAATTAAAGTTTGGGGTGCAAAATGGAGTTCTTGAGAGAGAAAAAATGGCACTTTTCCATTATTAGGCAATAACAAAATTACAAGTAATAAAAAAGTACATGAAAAAAGGCAAAATTAGAGTACGATGGGAAAATAAACACTAATGAATATTTACAGTATTTACAGTTTGGAATAACATACAAAAGGGGGGGGGANGGGGGTAAAGTAATGTGAGGATGTGTGTATATGCGTAAGTAAGAGTGTATTTTAAAAATACTTAAAAGAAATTTATCATATATATTTGAGAATTGAACCTGTAGTGGTTGACAAGTAAACAAATCTATCATATTCATAAATTAAATAAATTTTTAGACATATAATCGATACCACTTTATAATATTTAATAGATTTTCTATTATAGGGCTCTTTCGCGAACTGGTTTACTTTCAAAATGGTCTAATCAGATTACTCATAAGAAATCGTGTGGGGGCTTACAGTTATAGAAGGCGTTGACGAAATGAAAATTCGCATTTGATTCCGTTGTTCAACTTCCTTCATGAGTATATATATATATTTTTAAGGAATAAACTAATGAATCTAAATAAACTCGTGAATTTGCATAATTCACTAGGTGCATTTTATTAGTCTTTTTATTTTGAAAATAAAAATAGATTTTAAAAGTCAACAACGTTGCTACGGGTGCTATAAATTTATAACAGCTGTATAAACTCATCCCTGCCAACTTTTAAAGATGACTTTACCAATTGGTAGTAAACTTAAAATTTAATTACAGTCACGTGGAAAAAAAAAATTTTCTTTTAGTTTGTAAGAGCTTACATCATACCTGTCAACTCTTCCGGAAGATTTTATTTTCATATTTAAAGTGGTAGCAATACTCTGGTTATTCAAATTAACTTTTTGAATTATAATGATAATTACAAATGAGTTTGACTACCACTACGTATACATAATTACAATAAATATATTAAATCATAAAGATCCTTGCGCAAGCGAATTTCAACGGGATCAAAATATAAATAAATTTTTGAGTCAAATTGCTTTTCGTTCACTGTTTTACAACCACTCTGAAAATGCATTCTCGGAAAGAGAGAGAGTTAGCAGGTATGGCTTATATACCTATCTAATCTGATCTAGGAGGTTGTTCGGGGTGCCTGAGGCCGGAACGGCCCTTTACCCCTTCATCTTGTGATAAGTTCAATGAGGTAGTTCCTTAAGGTGGATAGTAGGATGATGATTCTAAGTAGAAATAAGATGGTAGCTTGACTGAGTTGTCGGCGTCATGGAGTAGTGAGGATCACTATGTCTTGTTTTCGGGAAGTAGAGATCGGAGTAATTGGACTAACTCCTCGTTCTGTAGTAGTTCTTGCAGCTCCCGGAAGATCTGCAGGAATCTGTTTGCAGTTTCGTTGGCACTCTTGGGCTGTCTCTGCTTCTGCTGTGGTTTTCTCCTTGGCCTGGCACCACAGCCTGAAAAACAGGCAGGGTGATTTCCATCGCAGTTGATGCAGGTAGCAGGAAGGCTTTTGGGCTTGGTGCATTTAAATGTAAAATGGGCTCCCGCACACTTCATACATGCAGGTTCATTTGGACAGTTCTTTTGGGTATGACCAAACTTTTGGCACCGATAACATTGGACTTCAAATCGACCTCCTCTAAATCGCTCTATCTGCACGGTAGTAGAAAGAAGCTGCTTGATGTTGATGCGTTCTCTATTCTCAGGGCTGTCTGGTAGTAGGATCAGGAAAAGGGGGGGGGAGCTTATATCCTTCGCCACGCCTCTTCTTGAACTGCTCTATTCTGATTGGCCGATGACCGCTAGCTGTGAGTTCTTCTTCCAAGATGGGAATCTTGGAAGAAGAACTATTGGGAGTCCTTTAACGAGGAATTTGAGTTTTCTGCAATTCTTTTGAGGAATTTCTATCTGAATCTGATCTGTTGTCTCATCTGAGGATGTGGCTACAGGTTCCGAGATGTTGTTAGTAGTTGAGATGTCCATATTCTCTGTGGGTTCTGGAGTGATAGTGTTCTTCCTCTTCGGGGGCTCGGATTCCGGTTGTTCCGTGAAATTTTCAGCACTGATTTCAGGTGTCTGCTTGGGCTGCTCTGGTACTGTTTCAGTTTGAACTGAGGTCATTTCAGGTTCAGGTGTCTCAATGGCTGTGTCAGTCTTTGCAGCTGCGGCTTCCACCATCGTCTGAATAGCTGGGGAGTCTCTAATACTTTTCAATATTAGCATCTCTTCGGCTAAGAACTTCTCCTCGTAAAGGCGTTCGATGTGAATGGTCGAGTACTCTTGTTCATAACCTTTAGCAATCTCGGCATCAATGTTGATCGCTTGTCTTTGTGTGTGCTCGAAGCTTTCATCGAAAGAAGTCCCATAATTCAATAAATAGGCATAACTCCTCTGTTACTCTCTAATATCAGCGAGATCCAGTTCTGGTTCACGTTGAGTACGGAAGGTCTTCCCTCCGCGGCCGGAACGATGGTTTGCCATGATAGCGCAGAGCTCGGTTATAATACAACCTTACTCTTCAGAGTCTATATCTACCTATCAACTTTTCCGGATTTAAACGGAGATTTTATTTTCATATTTAAAGTGGTAGTAAATATATACTATTTTCTCTTTTATAAACTTAATTTTTAAATGATTTTGATCACCACTATTCTTACAATAATTAAGCTTATATATTAATATGCGTTACTATCATGGTTGTCAACTTAATTTTTTTCAAGTACAACGTACTTGTTGGCATAAAATTGAAGATTTAATTCCATTTTAATACCACTGGGAAAAATGATAATGGAAGGGATTAAAAGTTGGCAGGTCTGAGCTTAACATGTCTTATTCGTCAGGCCACAACGGTAAATAACAACTAACTAAATTTGCAAATATAAGTCAGATTTTGCTAGTTTTTTAAAGGTTTAGCATTACATATCTGATAAAAGTGGTGAATTATATAAGCCTACGAAGTAAATTGAATTTATTAAACCAAGAATCACAATAATTAAAAAAAATTTGAATAGATTTTCTGCATAAAAGAGTGTAAATTTTATAGTTCTATATCATGTTATACGCTGTCAGCCAGCCGTTTTTCGCGACCTATGTGAAAGGTCAGTGTCAGCCACCGGTGGTTGACGCAGCCTAAATGTAATGTCAGTGTCAGCCACCGGAGGTTGGTATGGTCTTAGGATACATAGTTTTTTGGTTGATAACTAACTTTCTAAAGATGAAATGTCATCTGATTAACACGTTGAACGCCACGCTAAATTTACATGGCTTGCCCATCTGGCCACGGTAAATAACTATTAATCTAAATTTGCAAGTATTAGACGGATTTTTCTATTTTTTTTGANCATTGTAATTAGTTCTACTTCTATTGCAGTATCAGTATCTGCATATAACATTGTTATTAGACTCTTTTAATTTACCACTTTTTATAAACAAGTATTTACATTATATTTTCCAGATTTTTGGGTAAGTTAAGAGCAATATAAAGTTAAAAACTTTACTTTAGCCGACTTAATGTTGTTGGCAGGAATTTACTACATAACGCGGTTATTTCTCAAATTGTGGTACCACCATTCCGGATTTACACGAGAACTTAATTTTTTATTTATATCAAGGTTAAAGAATTTACGTTTTCACGCTTTAATTTCATTTGAATAAATTTAATTTAAACATATAAACTCCCCTGACATTTAAATGACTTATCAATATTCATGTCTGCTGGCTCTGAAGAAGAGCCAGCAGGTTCAAGTGTTATCTAAATTTCAATGAAACATTGTAATCCTTTACCCTCAATAAATTTTTCTTGACAAACGTAAAAGTGTGTAGGTATGGTCTTAGGATAAATAGTTGTTTGGTTGATAACTAACTTTCTAAAGATGAAATGTCATCTGATTAACACGTTGAACGCCATGCTAAATTTACATGGCTTGCCCATCTGGCCACGGTAAATAACTACAATCTAAATTTGCAAATATTAGACGGATTTTTCTATTTTTTTTTTGAAGGTTTATCACGACATAAGTGACACAGGTGGTGAATTATATAAGCCTACGAATTTTAGAAATAGTGGTGGATAAAAATGTACTAAATTGAATTTATTAAACCAAGAATCACAATAATTAAGTAAATTGTGATTCTTGGATGCAGATAATAATTAAATTTTATCAATGCAGATAATAATTAAATTTTATAAGTGAAGATAATAAGTAAATTTTCTGCATTTCAATTAAAGAGTGTAAATTTTATAGTTCTATATCATGTTATACGCTGTCAGCCAGCCGTTTTTCGCGACCTATGTGAAAGGTCAGTGTCAGCCACCGGTGGTTAACGCAGACTAAATGGAATTTCAGTGTCAGCCACCGGTGGCTGAAGCGGTCTAAATGTAATTTCAGTGTCAGCCACCGATGGCTGACGCGGTGCTCAACATGTTAAACGCAGCGATGCCCACTTGCTCTGGACTGCGGATAAATATTTTCGTGTGGTAGTTTCTTAATGTATGATTCTTGGTTTAGCAAATTCTATTTATGGGGTTTTTTACTACACTACTTCTAAATAATTCAAAGACTTATGTGGCTAAATCTTTTCAAAAATTGGCAAAATTAACCGAAAATCTGCAAATTTTAGTTTGTAGTACCTTACCGCTTTATAAAATATTTTATCGTGTCCGGAGCATGTACAAATAAAAAGTAGTTTTGATGAAATGTATCTGCAATGTGTAATGAAAAAACGGTCATGAAATGAGAGAATTATCAAAAATTTGCCTAATAAACTTTT